TGTATTTTGTATATTTGTGATCTGAAAACAATGTCACAAACTCTCCCATATGAACGGAAATATTAATATAATTTAATATCAAGCCATAACTAAGTGTTATAAAGTTGGACTTTTTCAAACAGGTGTGTATGTTCGGACATGTTTTTAGTGTTTTCTTTAGTATACTATGATGGATCATCCAGACAGGAGGATCTTTAGTGAATTTTTAAGGTAAATTACAAAGTAAGGTAAATACATTTATTTCTTATTTATTTGAAAACTGTGACTTACATTATTCTTGTCTAAGTTGGTGATAATAGATGTTATTCAAACAAATCCTATTATTCATTTATTTAAATAAATAATTAGGCAGATTTTTTTCACCTTTCTAGCTGCAAATCTGAAACATCTGAGTAGTTTTCTCGTAGCTTGAGAGCAGGTGTTTTCAGTTGTACCTTTACATCAAACTAGGTTCCTCCTGCTGCTGAAGAAAAGCCACACACACACACATCAGCCCACAGCAGAGCCTGAATGTGTATTGGAGCCAGACGGAGCATACCTGGCCTTTCACTGGACTCCCATTCATAGTCAAGGTGAGGGCCAAGGCCCGGGTAATGAGCCCTCAGTCCCAGCAGCGAGGTGGCAGAGGCAGGCCGTTCTGGATCGTTCTGTAAATGGCTTCATAAACTCATTAGTGATGGATGTGCGTGGACAGGAAAGGCCGAGATTACAGTGCCTGTTAAATGTGTCGGGCAGGCGAGAAAACTATCCCCCTTTCACCTCAATAATAATGATGATGACAGTGTTTCTCCATGCTTTTGTTTCATTCAATCATGTGTGAACTGAGATGGAAGGTGAGACAGAACAGACTCTCTGCCGCTCTTATTTCTGAACAACATAAGTCAGAAGATTTAAATAATATTTGTAGCATGCATCGTTTGGAGATCGCGACTTTGATCTTTAAAACTCCTCACATGAAGTTACTTTTTATAGAGGAATCAAAGCTCAAAACTGTTGCATTTGCTTTAGATAAGAGCAGAAGAGGTTAAACCTTGTGCTTTTTCAAGGTTTGTGCAGGTTTAAGCAAGTTAAATGTAAGACTTTTTAGGACCTTTGAAAATGTAAGACTTATTTTACATCCATCTTGGCAAAAAGTACAAAGGATACAAAAGAAAATCTGCTTTAGTTCTTTAGATTATTGGATTTTAGATTTTTTAGGACATGTAGAACTACTTTTACTACCTGACACTAATCTCATATATTTCCTGGGAAACTTATAGAGACCAACTACATCCAGAGGTGTAATGTAACTAAGTAAATTTACATTTACAGGTATAGGTATAGTCACTTCTTAAAATCTTCTATCAAAAGTTAATATATGAAGTAGATCAAATGAGCTCAAAGTCATCCATATGTTAATGCAGCAGTATCCGATATTAATACGTGTCAACCTGCATAATGAGTACTATTTTACTTACTATGGCACATTTTACTTATAATACTTTGTACTTTCGTTTAAGTGAAAACCTAAAAACAGGACATGTAACAGAGTATTTTTATGATGTAAAATGAGAGATGAAATGAGAATCTAAATTTTGTTTAATTTTGTTTGTTTTGTTTCTAAATGTTTTTTAAAGTTAGATAAGTTAAACTTTTATGCATCTTTACTATCTAACACATGCCAAATTACTTTTCTTTTTACTTAAATACTCCCCTGTGTCATACATTACACAGTTTAACATGCAAAAGGTGTGACCAGCAGGCAGCCAATGCATCTATCTTTACATGATTTTATAACTTTAACCTTGGGAAAAAACTAATCCAGAAAAACATGAGCCACTATTTTGCATATGACAAACAACAGATACTGAATGAATGAGTGCTGATGAGGAGTTTCAAGCTTTCGGTGAGAGCCTCATTTAGGGACGATGGCCCGTAGAGCTATTAGAGAGCAGCCCTTCAGCTTCTTTCTCCTCTCAGGCCATGACTATGAAAAGAGGACCCTCTGTGACAATGGGTCCGTGTATTCCTTGTCTGGCTCCAATACACAAGCAGGGCACGTTGCCTTCCCTGCAAGCAACACTGCAGCTCTGTCATTAGAGGACACTGAGGTTCCACTCCTAATATCAGGAAAACAGTGTCTGTTCTGTGAGGCAGAATATTGGAGGAGCACCAGGCTGAAAATGGGAATAAAATATCTCTTTTCAGTCTTTCCCACTTTGTGTGACAACTAATGATTATGTTTAATATGGATTCACATTTAAAACGTGTCCATCACAAGTTCCCCCCTCAAGGTGACACCTTCAGATGTCTTGTTTTATACAACCAACTGTCCAAATCCCACAGCTCTTCAGTTTCCTTTCATAGAAAACAAGCAAATATTCACATTTGACAAATTGACTATGAAAATGGTTGTTGATTAATTCTTTTGATTCAAAAACTTTAACAGGTGTCCACAACTGGACAATTGAAGCATTATAATTAATCGAAAAGACTAAAAGTTGAGTTAATTTCATTTTTGGTATATATAATTGGTTTGACTTATTTAA